TCTGAAATGCTTGGAACCAGAATTGTTTCAGCTTTCAGACAAAATTTTCCTGGATTGTAGAATATTTTTATGACTTTTATTGGCATGTTAGTACTTTAAAAATGTTAGATTTTGAAACATTTGGAATTTGGGGATTAGGTATGTTCAACCTGTACTTAAATAACCCTTTGAGATCTGGAGGTAACTGTAATAGGTGCAGAGATGGGGTGTTGAATTGGGAGTCTGGTGCTAGGCTCTCCTCCAGACTTTCCTGAGGCTGTGCAAATCATCCTTAAGTTTCTCAGTGGTAATGCAAGTCTGTGTCACAATTTGAAATTATTATTTGCCTTACAGAAGGAGACACTTCAAAATTACTTTAAGTTACTTTATTTGCTTTACATGCTTTTTTGTAGACCCTTTTCATTTATCCAGTGATGGGGCCAAAGATGTCATCACCCTCATTTCACATTGCAAAAAGAAAGGTTATGTGCCTGGCACATAGTAAGTACTTAGTGTGCTGACTGTGATGTGTGCTTATAAACAAATCTGAAAATAGGTAATCCAGCAATACTATTATTTCCAATTTAAGAGATTTAGCCATGGAGGGTAAGTGTTTTTGAAATCTTAGTGTCAATAAGAAATTTACTGAAACAGCTTACATAGTATATCTAAGGGAACACATCTGTTGAATAAGACTAAGTGGACACATGCAGGTAAAATCACATTACAAATAGTGTTCAGAATGGGGGTGGTCACTTGTGCAGTAGCACATAGCCAATAAACTCTAAGCCCCACGCCCAGTCTTTGTTAGTGTTCTTTGCAGAGGGCCACACCTCATAGTTCCAAAGAAGTGTTTAGTACCACCTAGGTAGACTGGAGTCCTTGTTTTATAGTTCTGCTACTTACTTCACCACAGCTAACTATATCCTGAGAGATATGGTTTAGTGGCCCTAGATTGTTAACCTTCTTTTATAAAATAAGAATTTGGACTTGGAGTAGATCTTTTTAAGCTCTACATGTCTGTGACTATCTAAATTACTTAATATGTTTAATGTGTTAGCTGTTTTTGAATTTGAGATGAGCTGGAGCTAATAAGCTTTTCAAATCAAAATCTTAAAAATCCAGCATAATTTTTTAATTTTTAAATTCTTGCTGAAGTACGTACCACACATTGGGTATCCTAGCCTTAGGGGAGCAGTCCTTATCCAAAAAACATGAAGTCCTTTGAATCACACTTGAATGTTTTGCTGTCAGCCCAGCCTTTGACTTCTAGCTGTGATAAACTTGTTTTTCCAGTGATGCAGCTAAGTAACACAAACAAAAGCAACCACAGATTTCAGTCATAAAAACAGGAGCAACTGAAATATAAGCAATACTTTTATGTGAAACTTTCTATAGGTTTTACTATAAGAAAGTTCACTAAGTTTTTTTTTTAATAGCATCATTAAAGAGGGTCAGAATATTGAAAAGAGCTCAAACTTGGAATTCGAGTGAAATTGTTTTTTGTGGATTTTTTTTTATTTGTTTTGATAATTGAATCCAGGGGTACTCTACCACTGAACTACAACCCCAGTCATTTTTATTTTTGAGACAGGGTCTCACAGAGTTGCTGAGGCCAGCTTCAAACTTGTGATCTTCCTCCCCCAGTCTTCTGAGTCACTGAAATTATAGCTGTGCACCACTGCACTCAGCTGAAATGATTTTGTAATAAAAGCAAAAGCACTGGGCTAAGGATGTGTAGCTCAGTGGTAGAGTGCTTACCTAGCATGTGTGAAGCCCCTAAGTTCAATTCCCAGCACCCAAAAAAAAGTGAATGCATTATAAAAAATGTAATGTAAAAGAGATTTAGGGATTAGATCCCCTCATCCTCCATACCTACTTTTTTTTTTTTTTAATGTATTAAGCCTTCTTAAAGCTTTTCTGAATGAGAGAGAACAAGAATACAGTTGCTGGTACAATGTAAATTACAGCTATTAGAAGTTATTCTACCTAAGATCAGTTTTACCCAGAACTTGGACAGTTGCTTAATACCATTGCTTAAACTGTAGGTCAGCCTAGTAATTGGTTAGCACCAAAAATTAGACAGCCCTTGTTCAGCTTCCACCTCTATGATGAGAGAGAATGTAGACAGATGTAGGCAAGGGATTCATACCCATTTAAACCCAGAGCCCTTGTGTTCAACTACAGCATGATGCCTTCTTCCATAGAGTAGGAACTTTACTCAGTTCATGTTGAATGAAATCACTAATTTAGAAACTCAAAATTCTCAATGATCTAACCTTGAGATTATGGAATGCTTATGCTATTGCTCATTTCAGTACTTAATAGTGCCTGGTCCACCAAAGGTATTCAGTAAAATTTTTGAATGAATAAATGTACATTAAATACTATAAGTACCATTATTTGTTTCAGTGTTTTGTTTATGTTAACACAGAATGTATTTTTACTACTTTGATTGAATAGTGATTATAGCTTCAGATGTCATATGTAATTGGACTTACATGTAGTTGTATTAATTTGAATTAATGGCCATAAAACTGCTTTTCATACAGATAAGAGTTCTTGGAACTCTTTGTCTTTATTTCAAGTGTGGACTATTTAATTCCTGAAAGTTGTTATAGATTTATAGCTTTCTAATGGACTGTATTATTTAGAAGGAAACTTTAAGATTATCTACTTAGACTTACTTCCTGATGCTTAAGTAAGCATTACCACTGCTGTGACAGTAGTTACTGTTACTTCCATTAACTGACTACCTGCCAAGCACTATACATTTTATACGTCATCTCTGTGAATGCTTATTTTAATGTTATTTGAGGTGTTATCCCCACCATGAAACTAAGGGTGAACTAGGAAAGCAAGTTTAAAACTCTTAGTTAGATTGGAACCCAGGTCTGACTGATTCAAGGCTTGTGCTCATTTCACTGTACTATCCTCAATAACATTTTGCTTCTTCTTTAATTTGGGTGCTTATTATCCTCCAAACAGGTTTGTTTAATTTTTGAACAACTCTTATTACTAGAAAGCAATTTTTTTCAATCCTTCTACTTTGTTTTCATTCAGGGTCTCTCCGAATCCTACAAAAATGACTGTACACTAGAAATCTCGCCCTACGTAAATGAGCTTGGGTCCACATTTTTGTAGACTTTTTTTTTTTTTAAACCTTTTGAATATGACTGTACTGTTTGGATTTGTTTTATATAATTCTAATTGTAACAGAATTTTGTACTTTGTTTACTTCATTCTCACTGCTGTTGTCTTCATTCAAAAATACAATTTTCGAAAGTCAGTGAATTTTAAGAGTGAATCTAGGGAGTAGACTATTCACTAAAAATTCCCTTTTTATCAGGCACCCAAATTATAAATAACACATTGATGAGCATCTTTGGCATAAACTGCTTTTGTATTTAGATCCATGGAAAACAGGAGTCCTCAAGGTTTGGTACAGATTTTCAAGTTACAGTGGTTTGAAATATCGTACCTACTTGATACACCTGATCTGGTTTCCAGAAGGCACAGCGGTTGCCATTTTAAGAAGGCAGCAGATGTCATCACCTTCATTTCATACTACAAAAGCAAAACTATGTGTTTGACACATAGGAAGTACTCATTATGCCATGCATGTATGCTTACAACAAATCTGAAAATATGTAATCCACACTCACAGAGTTCCACAGAACTCTGGCTTTAGGCAGGGAAATAGGAAGGAAGATGTAATTTAGGCCTGTAGGGGGAAAGGGAATGTAATCCATATTTGATCTATGAGGAACAGATAAAAGCAAGAAGAAAGTAAGTAAATTTAGATACTCTTAATTACTATAGCAGGTATCAAAGAGTTTGGGGAGTGAAGAGTGAACATTTTATTTCTCTGAACAGCTTGTTTAAATGTTCTTTTTAAGTTCAGTAAAATTGCGTAGGAATTTTTTTAGTAGCAGATACATTCTGAACCTTTATGTATACAGATTAAAATTTGAGGCTAAAATTGGATCTTATTTAGGCCTGGGGATTTAGGTCAGTGTTAAAGCACCCCTGGTTCAATCCCTACTACCCAAAACAAAACCAAAAATATACAAAAATAGAATTTTACTTTTCTCTCAGCTTCAATAGTTATCACCACATAGCCAATCTTGTATCATATATAGTCCCTTCACCCACTTCATTCATCTTGAATATCTCATTTCATCTACAAACACTTCAATACATATATATATGTGTATATATATATATATATATAAAAGATAAAGATTTTTAATAGTTATATTATACTTGAGATATAGGCATACTTTTAAATTTTTAAAAAATAGAACAGCGAGTTATATTTTTTTATCATACTAAGTCCTATAATGGCAAAGCATATCTTTTTAAATTAGTTTTACATGACAGTAGAATGCATTTGATATGTCAAACATAAAGAGAGTATAACTTTTCATTCTTCTGATTGTACATTATGTAAAGTTACACTGGTTATATAATCATATATGCACATACACTCATTTTTAACAATCAAAAAACCCTTATCACACTTAGAAATGAGCAATAGTTCCTTAATATCAATCATCTAAGAAATTTTTAATAATAATCTGGTTACTAATGTTCAGATTAATCTTTTATTTCTTTTGTTGTTCATTTCCTTCAAGTACTCCATTCTAAATCTTGAAAATTTTCCCACTTTTTTCTGTTATCTTCATAAATACAGTTTTTGAAAGCCAGTGCATTTTAAAAGTAAAGGGAAAAAGAATGTCATTTTTCCTTTCATATTTAATGTATACATTTTTCCTGAAACCAAAATTAAGGTTTTTGTTTTTGATGACTTTTTTTAATATGGGAAACCTGAATAAATGGCTGTTTTCATTTTCAAACTTAAAAAATTATTCATAATGTATTAGCAGGTTTTACTACATTAGGGTGGAAATCTATTCATACCTTGAATGTAATAGCAGTCAGACAAGTCTGAAATAATGGTAAAAATTATTTTAATGCTTTTCTTATATCATCTGACTTAATATTTTTGTTTTACATAGGTCTCTAATTAATAGAAGATGGCAAAACCCAGCCACAGCAGCTACGTTCTTCAGCAGCTAAACAACCAAAGAGAATGGGGTTTTCTCTGTGACTGTTGTATTGCAATTGATGACATTTACTTTCAAGCCCACAAAGCCGTTCTAGCTGCCTGCAGCTCCTATTTTAGAATGTTTTTCATGAACCATCAACATAGTACTGCACAACTGAATCTCAGCAATATGAAAATTAGTGCTGAGTGTTTTGATCTCATTTTGCAATTTATGTATTTAGGGAAAATTATGACAGCTCCCTCCAGTTTTGAGCAGTTTAAAGTGGCAATGAACTACCTACAGCTGTATAATGTTCCTGACTGCTTAGAAGATATACAGGATGCAGATTGTTCTAGTTCAAAATGTTCATCTTCTGCTTCCAGCAAACAGAACAGCAAAATGATATTTGGAGTAAGAATGTATGAAGACACTGTGGCTAGAAATGGAAATGAAGCCAATAGGTGGTGTGCAGAGCCAAGTTCAACAGTAAATACACCACATAATAGAGAGCCTGATGAAGAATCTTTACAATTAGGTAATTTTCCTGAACCAYTATTTGATGTATGTAAAAAAAGTTCTGTGTCCAAATTATCTGCTCCAAAAGAACGTGTATCGAGACGCTTTGGACGGAGTTTTACCTGTGACAGCTGTGGATTTGGCTTTAGTTGTGAAAAATTATTAGATGAGCATGTGTTGACCTGTACTAACAGACATTCATACCAAAACACAAGATCTTACCACCGAATAGTAGATATTAGAGATGAAAAAGACAGTAACATCAAAGCTGAATTTGGTGAAAAGGATTCTTCTAAAACATTTTCTGCACAGACCGACAAATACAGAGGAGACACAAGCCAGGCTCCTGATGATTCAGCTTCAACCACTGGAAACAGGAAAAGTAGCACAGTGGAGTCTGAAATAGCCACTGAAGAAAAAAGCAGAGCTGCTGAGAGGAAAAGAATCATTATCAAGATGGAGCCAGAAGATATTCCTACAGATGAGCTGAAAGATTTTAACATTATTAAAGTTAATGATAAAGACTGTAACGAATCCACTGACAACGATGAATTGGAAGATGAACCCGAAGAGCCATTTTATAGATACTATGTTGAAGAAGATGTCAGCATTAAAAAAAGTGGTAGGAAAACTCTAAAACCTCGGATGTCAATAAATGCTGATGAAAGAGTTGGTTTAGAAAATATGAGACCCCCTAACAACAGCAGTCCGGTTCGAGAGGATACTGAAAATGCATCTTGTGAGCTGTGTGGACTCACAATAACTGAGGAGGACCTGTCATCTCATTACCTAGCCAAACACATTGAAAATATCTGTGCATGTGGTAAATGTGGACAAATACTTGTCAAGGGTAGASAACTTCAGGAACATGCCCAAAGATGTGGAGWACCCCAAGATCTGACAATGAATGGGTTAGGAAATACTGAGGAGAAAATGGACATGGAAGAAAATCCTGATGAGCAGTCTGAAATAAGAGATATGTTTGTTGAAATGTTGGATGATTTTAGGGACAGTCATTACCAGTTAAACAGTATCCAAAAAAAGCAGTTATTTAAGCATTCTGCCTGTCCTTTTCGATGTCCTAACTGTGGCCAGCGTTTTGAAACTGAAAATCTAGTGRTTGAACATATGTCTAGCTGCCTAGACCAAGATATGTTTAAGAGTGCCATCATGGAAGAAAATGAAAGAGATCAYAGGCGAAAGCATTTCTGTAATCTGTGTGGAAAAGGATTTTATCAGCGGTGTCATTTAAGAGAACACTATACTGTTCATACTAAGGAAAAACAGTTTGTTTGTCAGACATGTGGAAAGCAGTTTTTAAGAGAACGTCAGTTGCGTCTGCACAATGATATGCACAAAGGCATGGCCAGGTATGTCTGTTCCATTTGTGATCAAGGAAACTTCAGAAAACATGACCATGTACGGCATATGATTTCTCATTTATCTGCTGGTGAGACTATATKCCAGGTCTGCTTTCAGATATTCCCAAATAATGAACAATTGGAGCAGCACATGGATGTTCATCTGTATACATGTGGAATATGTGGAGCAAAATTTAATTTGAGGAAAGATATGAGATCACATTATAATTTGCCAAGCATTTGAAAAGAACCTAAGTGATTTTCTACTGTACTAATGTCTAGTTGATAGCAGACAAAACACCAAAGCARAAAGGATATGAGCTATTTAGAAATTGATTTTATAAGATGAATTGTTTTAAAAAAAATTCAAGTCCCTTTTATCTTTAATATTTTTGTTTAGGATATTAAGTTTCTACATTTTAGGCGTTAAAATGTTTTTATCATTTTTTGTTGTTTCTAATAGCATTCTTTGTTTCTAGTTTTCTTAGCTTGGATTAAAATTACTTTTACATGTAGACGATAAGTGGCTGTTACCCCTTCAATGACTATTAAACTTTAGTTTTTTTTTATCAATAAGGTGATGACTTCACTATTTTTATGTGGTTTTTTTTTAAGGTTATCATGTGAAATTTAAAACCCAATATGATTGGCCATTCCTGTTTAAATTTTAGAAAGTATTTATTTCAAACTGCCCTATTTCACTGTTAGCATTTTTTTTCTTTTTCTTTTTTCTTTTCCCAGTTGAACAGTGGGTTAGCTACTGTTTATTCTCCCTTATTATCAATGAAATTCATATTCTTAAATTGACAAGCTTATTAGGCAAGTTAGGTGCACTGAATCTAACCTTTAAGGTTGACATGGGCTCAAACTTGGCCTAAAAAGATTGATGGACCTGAGGAAATTCCTATAAATGAACATTTCCTATAACTGATAAAATATTATCATTTAATAATCACATTAAAAACTTATATTAAGTGTAAATCCCAATGGCTTTCCCTCACTTGTGAAACTTGTGGGGATAAGCCATTTTGTTTTATGATATTAAATTTAACTATGATAGTTAATTAAAAAGACATCTTGTATTCATTAAAAATATTTTTAATTTAAAATATTCTTGATTTTCTAAAGTGTGTTAGTTTACCAATTATTTTTGTTTATAAATAGACTTTAATAGCGCTCTAGAAGTATGACATCTAAAGGAAAATATGATTTAAAATTACATACTTTTGGAACTTTGAGATTCAAGAAAGTTGCCATGTATATTGATAAATCTAATAAAATAAATCAATTATAAATCTGGTTGTTCTATAAAAGTAGAGTGCACAAAAAATGTGTTGTGTTTTATACTAAGATTTGGAGAAAATGTGTCGTGGCAAATTGCAGTTTATCACCATGCTTTATTATTATTTTCTGTAAAGGATACAAAATTTGAAGATTATAAAATAATCAGCATATAAATGGAAATAGTTTATCATTTTCAATTAAAGTAGTTTGTTAGTTGTTATTGACCGAGGGTCTACATCATTTACATGTGAATTAAAACACTGGCAAACCTGACCCACCAATAAACACATCTACTGAATAGAATGCCTATTAATGTGAATTACTTGTAACATAATACCCTTCTTATAATTAAAAGGATTTTAGTTAACTCTCCTATATTTAAAATATAATTTTGTGATTATGAGCAATAGTTTAATGGCATTGCTTTTTGTTCACATCAGATTTTTAAATAAGTAATTTTTGTACAGTTTACATAAAAGAACAAGTTGCCAAGAGAATTGAGAGATATATTGGCAAGTAAAGATTTAGTTGAAAGTATTAGAGCAGTGTGAGTACAGAGACTTACAGGGATATGTTCAAATTGTTGAGGTTAGGAATAGCACAGGAGCCAGGGCAGAATTAATGTGAAGTAGAGAAGCACAAGAAGATAAAACAAGAAATTGAGAATATTTTTTTAAAGCCACACAGTTAACAGAGAATGCAGGAAAAATGAGTTCCTCTTAGTCTTAGATTTAGTTGTTTATCAAATACTTAAATTGGAAATGCAACTTAAAATGAAATGAAAATAAGATGCATGGATATATTACTGTTAGGAACCTGATAACCAAAAGCTCTCAGAAAGTAGTGTAAAGAGATAAAATAAACCAAATTTCCTAACTACATGATATCTTAGTGAACATGATCTTCAGGGTCACTTTTTTCTACCCTCATCAAAATTTTTGTTGAAATGGCTTTCCCCACTATTGGGGTGGGGGTGGGGAGGGCTTTTTTCTAAATACTACCTCTTTGAAGAAAGGATTATTTATTCCATTGGGGAGGGGTTGTGTGATTTTGTATTTTGCCATGTGCTAACAGCCAACAATTAGCAACCAAATATATAAACATTATCTTAATTTTACATGACTGAGATGTTTATAGTTTCACAAAGTCACACCTCATGATGTTTTCTTCTTGTTTCATATGTCACAGGACACACTTGTTTTGGAATTAGCTACAGGGTAGTATAGGCTTCTCCAAGTGGAAAGTATAATTTTCCTTATCAAACAGTTCAAAGGCTCCGTGGCTTTTAAAATTAAGGGAAGCTCTGCACAGTGACACATGCCTGTAGTCCTAGTGACTTGGGAAGCTGAGGCAAGAGGATGCCAATTTGAGGCCAACCTCGGTAGTTTAGCAACTTAATGAGACCCTGTCTCAAAATAAATAAAAAGCACTGGGGATGTAGTTCAGTAGAGCACCCCTGGGTTCAATCCCATATCAAAATAAAACAAAATTAGGGGAAATGAAAAATGCCCAACACCTTAGCCAGACTCAACTTCCTTTTACCTCCATCCTCTGTTAGCATGGAACTAAAGAGCTCTAACTCCTTTGCTATTGCTTCTTGCTCTCCTGTGCTGTGAAGAGAATGAAGACTGGAAGTTGTCTGCTGTTCATAAAACACACGTCTTTAGGCTCCAAATTTTAAAAAAAGGAAAATCTAGATAGATGGAGTAGGATCTTGTTCCCGTTTCATCCTGACACCATTTTGTTTGAAAAGACCTTTTGTTCTTACCACTAACAATTCTTGAATTCCTTTTTTTCTTCCATACTGGGATTAAACCCAGGGGCACTTTACCACTGAGCTATATACCCAGCCCTTTGTAATTATTTTGAAGGAGGGTCTCACCAAGTTGCCCAGGCAGACTTTGAACTTGTCATCCTACTGCCTCAGCCTCCTGAGTAGCTGGGATAACAGACATGCACCACTGTGCCTGGCTAGTTTTTTGAATTTCTTTATGTATAATGAGCAATCCCAGACTAAATTTTTTATCTTGTGGTGCTAGTGATCAAACCCAGTGCCTTGCAAGACATGTAGGCAAGTGCTCTGACACTAAGCTACATCCCCAGGCCTATTTTTTCTAAAAAGCAAGAAATCCTGGAGGAATAATCAGCTTTTAACAAAGTTGCCACTAATTACAGTTTGGATGTTCTATAACTTTTTAGTAAATAAGACCCTCACACCCAGAGATTAATAAAACATAGCCAAGGCCATAGTAGATTAGGATTCAGAAGTTTGTCTTAATTTCCCATATTATTAAAGTAAAAATATTCAGAGAAACGAGCCATATGAGTAAGTGGTATTTGGCAAATGTTTAATTACTACAAAGTAATTAACAGTTTGACTATGGACAAAAATTAAATTAGAAAAAAAATCTTCCAGAGGGGCTAGTTACAATAATAAGAATTAAAATAAGGATGGTGTTTGCTAGAGCTGACACTAATTAAAAGGAAAAATAATGGGCAAGAAAGATGTTGTACTGTAATTAAAAGCAAAAAATATGAATAGGATATAAAAATTGAAGTAAATAAAACATTTGAAAATTATAGAGATGAACAGAGATTAAAATAAATTGATCAGATTAAAATAATTATAGGCTGCCTAACTGAATAAGAGTGATGAACATATCAAGGCTATGCCTGAATACTTGAGATACTTTTATATTCTAATCAATGGGAAGAGGCTGGTGATAGCTGGCAACTTCTCACTGGTAACACAATACTCAATCCTCTATATCACTACGAAACTTTTCCTACTTAATGCATCTCTGGAAAATCTGCCAAAGAACCAGTGTAACAGTTGTTAATATTTAAGTATAAAACTTGTCATTAACAAAAAGCTAAATAAGTACCAACAGAAAAAAACCTGGATATGTCTGTGCATACATAGTTAAGAATAAAGAAATTTGGTATATCTAATTTAACTGAGTTTTATCATGAATTAAAATTGAAAATTTTTTTTTCCATTAATCTGTTTTGATCAGTCAACTTTCCTCACCATCCCCTTCTCCGTTGTAACTAATGCTTCCCAGGGATAAAATGCTGGTGCTCTGAAGGCATCCTAGCATCAACAACTTCTAGCATTGTAGAGCACCAAAAAGCTGTGGGAAAACATATCCTTGTAAGATTCTCCCTATATCCTTAATGTCTGAGGGTGATAGGTTGGATGGTAGGAAACTCAAGCAAGTGAAGTTATATTTGGTGTTTAGAACTTGAAGCTACATCACAGATTTGGAAATCCATTATCCATTCATAATAGGGTTCTCAATAATCCCAGTATCTATTTATTTAGGGCTATATACTCAAATGCTTTACATACATAATTTTAATTAAGCCTCACAGTCTTTTGAGGTAAGTATCATACTAATTTTCTAGATAGGGGACCCAGGTCCAGAAGGGCTGAGTATGTTTCCTAAAATCACATAGAAACTATATTAGACCTGGAGTTTGAATCTAGACCCAACTTTGCCTACATTACTATACTTAACCACTAAGCTACTTGCTCCACCTATCAAGAAGTACAAAGATGGGCCTTTTCAGGCTCATGTGATAAAGGTCCTTTGAGGCTGTGCTCCTTGTTCATCTCATCTGCAATGCCTGGTAAGGGGGCTAGTAATGGTACCTAATGAACATTCTGAGTAATGTGAAAATATGAGAATGGAAAACAATTTTTATTTGAATGAGTCATTCAGAATGATGTTTTAGAAATAAATATTAAATGCTGATATGTTTTGATTTTCTTTCATTAAAACTTGAAACATTTAGTGGTATGTCAGCCATTTGTGGGGGCCTGTGGTAGAAATCAATTAAAAATTACTTTGAATTCAACTTCTACATTTCTATGTCTGTGACTCCCCCCCCCTTTATTTTCTCTATTGCTGTCCTTTGTTTTAATCTCTTCCATCAATCTCCATTTCCTTTTATTTGTTTTGACACTGATGAGTTAAGAACTCATTTGAAAACAAATGCTCCCAAGAAAAAGCAGAATGACAGAATAACCAGTTTCCTCTTTTTGCCTTAACAGATGATGTGGATAAGAAAGTCATCATTTCTTTGATCAAAAAACAGAACACCCCTGAAAAGGGAGATACTGAGGGATGAAATTTACCAAATTATATTGTGTGCATATACAAATATGTAACAATGAATCCCACTATTATGTACAATTGTAATGCACCAATAAAAATATGAAAAAACTCTCCCATTACTGTATTGTGATTGCTAAGATTTATAAAGCAATCAAAGTTTGCTTAAAAACAAAAATTGGAGGGCTGCAGATATGGCTTAGAGGTATAGCCCCTGCCTAGCATGCTTGAGGCCCTGAGTTCAATCCCCAGCATAGCCAAAAAGAAGAAACAAAAGTTGGTTATTCCAGAGTGTATAATTCAACTTATGAAAGCATAGATTTTAGATGAACTTACATAGTCTTATAAAAGAGGAAAAATAATCTCAGGAAATGACAGCTTGTATAACCACCCTAACCTAGCAGCAAATTTAAACATTTAAGTGAAACAACCCCTCCAATCTGATTCTAACTTCTGCATCTACTACCTGATTTCTATACAATAGTTTCCATGCTACTACTAGAATGACTTATCTGTTAAAACATTTTTTTCAAGTGAGAAGATTGAATTGCAGATGATTCTGTGAATGTCTATATAATCATTTAAGTGGCCTGCTTTTCATTGCTGTCAAATTCAAGGACATATCATTTGGTAACATGGGTGTAGTCTCAAAAACCAGATGAAAGTTAACTACTTATAAGTTTATATGAAAGGCAAGAGGCAAAAAGACAAGGGTTTAGAATGTTTGTGTCTGTAACTGACAATTAGTAAATATAAACTAAATAACAGCTTGTAAATTCAAGCTAGTTGTGAACCAATGTAATATTGCTTACATATTTATGTACATACACTTAGTAGAATTCAGCATTAAGTTTAAATCCTACTTAAGCTATTCCTTTAATGTATTTAGGAGAACCAAATCATTGAGGTCATTCAATAGTGACTAAATTGTTCTATCAGAATCCACACAGATCACTAGGGGGCAGGAAACTATTATAATATCTTAATATCCTACTCAATGAACTGACCAAAAAAAAGTGATATAAAGATTACTTGGCTCTGAATTGAATAATGTACTAATCATCATTGTACTAAGAAATCAAACAATAGCTCTGAGTCAAAGAATGACAAATTTTTAAAAAACATGATTTCATTTCAGCCAGGAATAATAATAATTTTATGTGAGAAAATTTGAATAATACTCTACTTACCTGAGAAAGGAACAGACAAGCATTCAGGCTATAAAGCCTGGTCTAGCCTTTATTTCAAACGTGTTAATGTTTATATTCTACTTAAAACCAATAGTTTATAGCAGTTGAATAGGCTCAGCTCAATTTCTGATGAAACAATTCTAAGCACCCTGATAATGAAAATCACCTTTCAAATGTTTATGTTCCCTGATATGGAAAAAAATCATTTTAAGGGACAATTTATTTTTTAATTATGGAATTACAATTATACAAGGCATTATAATTCTAGGCAAAAATATAATTCTACCCAGAATCACTGGGGCTGGTTAAGACAGTTATATGCCTAGGAATTTGAAGGAAAACTTCTTTCTCTGTGTATGTGTGTACTTCCTTTTCATTTGCAGAATATATAACAATATTTGAGGAAGGCAATGTTAGCTTCATGGCTGAAGAGAGGAAAAGGAACATGAATTTTTAAATTTGTTTCAATCAGAAATTTGTCATTAAAAAATACATTGTAAAACTTTTTATTTGAAGGAAAAATGTGTCTTCTTCCTTCCTACTCTTCTATTTGTCTGACCTCCTTTTTTATGTTACGTTTTTGWGCCCAACCATTTAGTTCAGACCATACATGCATGACAAAAATAAAATTCTGCTAAATAAATATAGCAGAATTGTATTAATAATAATAATATTTGAAAGATGCAATGAGTTATATTCAAGAAGTAATTGGGTAAATTTAAATTCTAGAAACTATTCTTTTATTCCTATTCTTTGTTCTTTTTAACAGTGTGCTGGCCTGGTGCCAAAAGCTAAGAAATTCTGACCTAAAAATATGTTGTATCTTGTAGACAGTCAACTTGTAATGTTTTTTTTCTTGAGTTTTGTCTTTTTCTGTGTGGCAGTGGTGAAATAGGGCCTTCTAAACCTCTGGAGAAGTGACAGATCTGAATTTGGAGAGGACATGGGGAAGAATCAATCTTCAACAGATAATCTTTAAGTGCAGACCCAGGAATATCAGATCTGAAGTGGCACCATCTTTTCTGTCTTCCTGACAAACTTCATCAGCCCCAAAAGTTCCAGTTGCAAAGATCCAAGAAAATAAAGATCACTTTGGAATCACTTTGTTATAACAAAATTGATTCATGGTGACTTTCCTAGTAGTTGTGAAAAATATGCTAAAGTTACTGTAAAATTCTTATGACATCAGTGGTTAAAGCTGCACTAAAATGAAACTTTATATGCTAATTATCTTCAGTGGTCCCTTCTAAAATAAAAGGGCTTTGTAGACTACTGTAAATATAAAACAAAGAGATAATCACATATCTCTAAAGAACACATAYAATTCTAAACTTAAAATAACCAGAATCATAGCTTATATATTAAGAAATGTAGTTAGGCAGTTTTTAAAAATTCACTGAAAAATATGTAGTTTAAGTGTTAAGTAAAAAGACAGGAGTACAGAGAAGGAAATTTAAGGCCAATATTATAACAAGACAATCTAGTTATTACTCACTGTAAGTAACACTTGCCTTCCTTTCTGTGCTTACCAGGCACATACAAGGTTATTAATATACGCTCCTCTTTAAGTCTGTTAACTCGAAGAGCGGAGTAGTATAATCCCAATAGTAGTAGATTTTCACAAAAAACAGACACTCTGTTTTCTTCTGTATTTAGCAATATAATCTAATAAGGTAGAATTAATTTCTGTTAAATATTCTCAATATTAATGTACAGTGCCCTGCTCTTCAACTTCAAAATTCAAAATAAAATTCAACAAAGTATTGAGTGAAATGATGATTAACATTTAACATTTTTTAAAAAAAAACTTTCATGCAGAAATACTTGAGATTTTAACCTGGATACAAATGCATTGCAATATACACATACATACACATTCTTAACCACATGACTTATGGCCATATTATTTCCTTATTGTGAATATACTATACTGTTACCTTTGGTTAATTATGTAACCAGATCTTTATTGTTTTTAGTGCAATACCAAGATGTTATATATTTTTAGAAGTGCTGTCTTATTTTTATGCTTATTCAAATATTGTAGTAAGAAATTGCACAGAGATCAAACTTTAAAAATATACTTAAAAGAGTATATATGCAGGGATTAAGTCACTTAAAAACCTTAGCTGCAAATTAGGAGATAACTGAATATCTATTATAATAATTAGACTAGCTGAAAATCAGAAAGAATTTATTATAATGGGATAGTAGGAATAGATGGGAGAAGGGAGAAAAGAACTCCATTAATGAGATCAAACATGAAAATGTTTCAAGAGACATAAATAAGTCTAGAGAAGTTTTAGAGTCTAAAAAACACTACTATTCATCTCGTAGGAACACAAAGAAACAACTGCAGGCTTCTAAAAATAAACAGAAAACAAAAGATAAAAGAATATTACCAATAATTAAAGGTGCCAGATCAATATGAAAATGACAACAAGTAATTTGATCAACTAAATTTTTATTGAATTAGATTTACTAAAGAAAAATGGCTTAAATTCTGACTGTATTAACTACAAGTGTCATGAATTATAATCATTATAAATGGTGTAAATGCCTTCTATGATATGATTATTTTCTGTATATTAGTATAAAATGGAACTTTTGGATTACATAAAGTACTTTTGTTACATTTTTAAATACATGCTTTTACCTAATAAAAGTTACTCCTTTATGTTCAGAAGTTAAATTGTCTGTATATTACTTTTATTTGTACTGTATGTTTTTCAACCTGGATCTTTTAATGTACAGTGCCCTGTACATTAAAAAATAATAATTAGTCTGAAAAGTTATCAATTCCTCTCATTCTCTAATACTATAATAACAGAATAAACAATATATTTAATTATGGTGTTTCTGCACAATTTTAAAAAAGCACAAAGAGAATTAGCTAAAACTCTTCTGACAAATCCTGGTTTCTTTGAATATAGAATAATGATTGAAAAATGTTGTTTCATGGCAAACACAGATGACAACAAATTGGGTTTCCTCATAATATAAAAAGAATATTTTATAAAAAAAATCCACTGACAGGGGCCAGAGTTATGGCTCAGCAACAGAGCGCTTGCCTAGCATGCATTAAGCACTGGGTTCAATCCCGGCACCACATAAAAATAAAATAAATAAAATAAAGGTATTGTGTCCATCTACAACTAAAAAAAAAAAAAAAAATCCACTGACAAAGTCCTTTCAGAGTGTTAATTTCTTTCTCAAAATAGCAAACATAATTTACTATTCAGAAAAATGACTTCTTTGCCAGCAATTAATTCTGTTTATGTTCAAAGATTTTAATAAGTATTAAAAATAATGGCATATTGAGTCTGATTCCCCAAGTACAGGAGAATAGTCTCCCTTTTCCTGGATTGTTTCAAGACTATTCCTCAACCTTAAAATTAGCCCTCAAAACTGGAAGAGGAACAATTTGTCCCCTACTGTCACAGAATGATTTCTTCCAGGTTCAGTTCTTCCATACCAGACACAGTTGTTTCCTACACCAGCTTATTGTGTATCTACAATTTAACTGTAACTAAAAGACTGGATTTTTTAAGACTTAAACAAATGGCAATTTTTTTTTCCTGAAGCAACAGGTCATTGAACAATTATTTCAAGAAAGGACAATTTCAAAGGATTATAAGATGGCAGTATTTATAAAGATCTTAAATATAATCATTAGCTGAACTCCAGTTTGCTCAAAGGTCCTCAAATTATAGGATGTTACTCTTTCTTTTTCCTGCCACCATTACCTCCTCAAAACAATCCACAATCTTTAGGAAGATTGTGAGTGGGTGGGGATTAAGGATTGAGAAGGGTTGCTGGAAAATACACAAGTTTTTTCTCTCATAGTAATTCTGGGAAAATTTATTCTTTTCAATCTACTTGGGCATGTACATAGTTTTAGGCCTCATTTTCTTCATCTTTGTATCTCTAGTACAAATATTTTCAGACAGCAAAGTTGTCTTCAACTTTTGAAATAGAAATAGGAGAGGTAATCAGAAGATCTTTTTCTAAGACAGGAGAAAAATGAAGTTATTATCTACAAGATTCAGGTTAAATGATGTGCTGCAGGTCCCTTCTAACAAACAGGAAGAGGGCTAGGAATGTAGCTCTAAGGTAGTATCTGTGCTTTACATGCGAAAACCTTGGGTTTGATCCTCAGCAACCAAAATAAACCAAAACAAAAACTAGCCAGAAACAAAATATTGAGCTAGTAAATTACTGTGTAGGATAAAAAGATAAAAAAGTTTTGCAACCTCTTTTTTCACTTATATCAAGAATAATTTTGTGTAACATTAAAAACCTTGTTAACAATTTTATGGCTGTATAATAATTCATCATATGCATGTTCTATAATTTACATAATCACTCTCTTGTTATCTATTTAAGTCATTTCCTTTTATTTATGTTGCTAACTTAAATAATAAAACCTGCATTTTCTATTATTTCCTTAGGGCAAAGCCATAAAAAGTAATATTAAATGAAAAGTATGGTCGTATTTAAGAAAAAAAGTTGTCACATAGCCTTCAGAAAGACTGTAATATCTGACATCCTCGCTGGTAGGGCTTATCTGTTTTGCTACACCATTAATGGCAAGGATGAATATTATTTGATCATAAATTTGCAAATCTGATAATTTTTAAGAGTTTTTAAAATTCTGAATCAATTATCAAAAAGAAAAATAAGATTTTTAAAAAACCAATACAAATAAGGAAAATATAAAAATTCCAAGRATAATCAGTATGTGCTAAAAATAGTCTATGAATGCAAAAATGTCTTCCATATAAAATCAACAGGCAGATACTGTATCATTTTGGGAAAAGTTCAGGATGCCATATAAACTATAAAACATTTGAAAATCAATTTACCAGGTAAAAAACTAGAGAAAAAATATCTAGTTATAGCTAATCAAAGTATGGTTATAATTGCTACTCTGGTTTAGAAAGTTGTGTTTAAGATGAATGTGGTCATTAGATAACAATATTTCTTTATTATAACTGTGCACAGAGGTAAAACATAGTTACTGAGCAAAAGAACCTCTCCTTTTGAAACTCTAATTTTAGCCTTTGTGTGGGAGATCTCTGGGCCTGCTTGTTTTTTTGCAGTCCTGCTTTGCTTTAAGTAAACGTGTGAGTACAAGAAATAGGAAGAGCTTGTGCTTCTCATCAGGTTCTTTCAAATGTAGGTAGGACCCTAGTGCCAAATCACATTATTTCATCAGTTCTACAAAGAATTGATTAGTATTTCTTTCCAGGCCACTAATTCCCTCTTATCTTAAAAAAAATAAAAATAAAAATAAAAAACAAGAATTTCCAAGAATAAAACCAAAAAATCTGTACTCACAACTTATATCAGCTTCAATTAGAATGTTTTGATTTTTTCCCCTCGTTTTCCTAATATTTTCTCTAAATGTTTTCCTATTTCTATTTTTTTTTTCAACTGCTTTCATGGAAAAGAATATGGGTATGATGGTTAAAACCAGTACTGCTTGACCAGTGAGATTAACAAATTCATATTAAAAACTGGGAATTACATACATGACTAAATAAAAAAACCTTTAGGTGTTCATTGATTTGATTTTATAGAATTCTGTCAACGTTACCTTTTAGATATAAATAGCTTTTGTGTTTCTCAGGCCAAAATTCTTCTCCCACACTGTCTTACGCAACTTTTTTCCAGGCTACACCAGCATTTAGCCAGCTTCAAAGGATGGCTCCCCTCTCCTGTAACCCCAGGAAAGACCAGGGCACAAGACTCCTAAAAGTATCCTGCCCAGCTGTAGAGATTTTCTTGTCTGTACCCCTCTCCTTCTAGTAACAGTAAGCTTCCCGGACAAAGCTCATATACTGGTCTCATCGTTGCCTTTCCAACTCTGCTGGCAAACTTCAGCACCTGGCTAGGGCATGTGGCCTCTCCAGGAAGCCCTCACCAACACCAGTCTCACTCATCGTTCTGGGTTCTCACAGCACCCTTTTTCCAGCACTTTTCTCCAGTTGTGTTACTTCCTTATCAGACTATCAACCCCATATGGGGGGCCGTTTGTCTTTTTCCTCTCCACAGTAGGTACCTGTTAAAAGTAGGAATCATCGTCCTCACTTTCCCTCTCCGCCCCCGCCCACCCGAGAAGCTAGCGCTCTCCACTCCAGGATTCAGCTTCTGCTCCAGTCACCTGGGGCCGGGCAGTGCTTCCCTGAGCTATCCCCACGTTCCTGTTGAACACCCACGGACCGTGAACTTTTTCATCTACCTTCACCTGAAGTTACCTGTAACTTCATCACAGGTAAAGAAAATTATCTCMCTGGGCTCAGACATAAACCCTGCAGAGTGTGCGAACGCCAAGGATGCGGGGATCGTGCGGGGTTTCGTGAATTTGTTGATTTTCCCCTAAAGGACTCAAAACGATGGACAAAGCACTTGAAGCTGAAAATGAGGGAAACAGTGCAGAGAACAGGAAGGGGAAACCTGGAGGTTTACAGCGACAGGACGAGCAAGGAACCATAAAAGCTTGGTCGAGAAAGTGCAACCCTAGGCTCCTGGGAGGCGGGCTGACGACGCTCCAGTCTCGCCCCAGCAAACCGCCCGCGCGCAGCGAGGAAAACGGCTGGCCTTCCCGGGCTCGCCCTCCCCCGCGCCACGCAGCTTTCACCGAGTGCTTCACAGCCACAAGGAGCTGCAACGAAACACGCTCTATAAAATTTCAAGTCGCTGGCCAACGACTCAAAAGAACCTCATTTTTGTCTCCGTCCAGGGGAGCCTCCCCCACCCCCTGCCATGCAGAGACCGGAATCCCCTCAGCTTGGGCCAAACGGGCCGGTTTGGGCCGTATTTATTTGGTACCACCAACTCAAAATGAATTCCCCTTCTTCCTCGTGCTAGGTCAGTCTGGACACCTGGCACTAAAACCACTTGCGGCCTCGGGACCAATAAATAATCCCCACACCCCGCTCCCCTTCCGCACCTCCTCCCGGCGCCACGCCTCAACCCTTCCTTCCCCGCCCTCACTGAGGAGTCCGCGCTGCTCACTGGCCGCGTGCCCTGCCAATCCTTTGCGCATCGACGAATCCCGCTTCTGGAAAGCCAAGACCGCGGAAAAAGCGCGTACACCTGGCGGGGGCGGGGGGCCGGGGGGGCCAGGGCACGAGCCTAACGCCCCCAAGCAGCTGGAGGTACTGGGAGGAGCCTCATTTGCATAACGGCCATCCTCGGGTCTTCTAGCGAGGGTCGGGGTCCCGCCCCTCACCCAAYTAGACATCTGTTGGGCTTCAGGTCGGTCACTCCGACCCAGGCAAGCCTGTGGCTGGGCTGGAAGAGTTTGTGCGGGCGGTCCCCGGAGCGGATTGGCTCTGGGAGTTTCCAGAAGGCGGCTATAAGAGCGGGGAACCCGGAGGGGGGAGCGGGGAGACTGGTTGCGCTCGCGGAGAGTCGTGCGAGGTGACCGTTAGTTGACGCCGCCGCGGACTGCCTCTCCCTGGTTTTCTCGTCCTCACATCGCTCGTTTATCTTTCAGTCAGGATGTCCGCCCGCGGCCCGGCTATCGGCATCGACCTGGGCACCACCTACTCCTGCGTGGGGGTCTTCCAACACGGCAAAGTGGAAATCATCGCCAATGACCAGGGCAACCGCACCACCCCCAGCTACGTGGCCTTCACGGACACCGAGCGCCTCATCGGCGACGCCGCCAAGAACCAAGTG